ATAGGCTGCATTTTCTAAAATATGGCTTTGGTGTTTTAAGGAATACAATAAAATCAACCTATTGCAAAGCAGCAGTCTGCTAAGAATAAAGCTTATTTTCATGTTTGGTAGGTCACTACACTGTTTCTCCTCATGTAAATGTGTTCTAGGGTGACTTAACTCTGCAAGCATTATTCTTAAAAATATCTGCTTTGAATCTAAAAAAAAAGCCAACAAATAAATTAGATTTGATGATTTATATTAAGAAAGAATTTAGGGTCAATTTAAATAATTTCCTTTTGTGCCTAAGATTAGATTTCATCTAAAGATTCCTGTCAGTTTAACCCTTAGAAAAACGCCAGATTTAGGGCCTCAGAGTAAACTGAGGCTTGGAGAGGTAAAGTGATTTGCCTCTGTTATTAGTCAGTATTCTTTTGGGTGTAAGTTACAGAAATTCAACTCCAAAGTAGCTTTAACAAAAAAGGGAATTTACGGGCTCATGTAACTAAAACTAGCTCCGGATGAAGCTGAATCCAGCCACCCCAATGCAGCTGCTCTTCCACAGCCCTGGCTTCCTCAGGGTGAGGGCGGGGAGGGAGATGGTCATAAGTGCTCCAATTTACAGCACGTCTGTGGTTTATGTTTCAGGAGGAAGAGAGGCATTTCTCTCTCAGCATACCCAGGGCAAATCTCGGGATAGATCCAATTGATACCCTTGGGTGGTACCCATCTCTGTGGGGAAGAGAAGAGGGAAGCAGCATGGCTAAACAGTCCCATCAGGATCACATGAGGTGAAGGGTGTGGTCCTCAAAGGAAAGAGGGGTGTTGGGGGAAGTAGAGAGCTACCACACCAAGACTAGACCATTACTACAGGCATGGTCTAGATTAGAAATGGGACCTTAGTCCTAGTGCAGTTTGGGAGGTCACAGTGAGGAAGAGAAACTGGTAAGCTTTGAACAAAAATAGTTTGAGCCTCTTTTAGAGGGATATAAATTAGAGATGAAGATAAAGCTCTGAAATGAAGTTAGGTCAAATGACCATTTTTTACTTCCAGAAAGGTATGGCTATTGTAAAATGCAAATCCTTGTTATTGCTAATGAATGCTCCCACACGCATTCTGTAATTTAGTGTGGAAGGTGATTGAAAGGCATATTCTCATTTCTTTGCTCCTTGTTTTCTTCCCGTCAAAATAAAATTTGGAGGAATTGAAAAAAATGCAGAAAAGTTAAAGTTTCTAGATAGAAAGAAAAAAATATTAAAAAAGAAAGTGGATAATTATGGTAGTAACTAGTATTCATTGGGCAGTTAACATAGGCCAGGCACTGTAGTAAATGCATAACTCATTTATATCGGATGACCATCCTATGAATTAGAAAGTATTAGCCTGCTTATGTACAGGCTGAGAAACCAAGGTTGTGAGTGTGCGTAATTTACCCCAGCTCCCGACTCTCAGAGCTGGGATTCTTCTACCTCTGGTATATATGATTCCAGAGTCTGTGTTCTCATCATTATGTTTATAATTAGTTCCAGCTTTAGTTCACTTAACTGTATAATTTGACTATTTTACAAGCAAAATTATTGCTTATGGTACATTACTTTGTGTTTTATCCTGTGTGAAATAAAGTGCACTGGAAGCTGGTTTTCTTCTTTCCTATCAGAGACAGGGACCCTCTTCCTGCCTTGATCTATCGGTGACCTAGGGCCTCTCACTGCTAGGTAAGGAACTAGAGCACCTGAACATTTTAATCTTAAGCAATAATTACACACGTTAATCATGTGGAAAGTCATGAATAACATATAAACCTTGAGGCAAATATGAAAATGTAACTGCACTATTTAAATTATGACCCAAGAAAATGTCACTGCTAATGGTGTTTTCTGTGTAGATAAATGTGGTTCAAAGAAATATAACACCAAAATCCCTTGTCTACACTAGCTATGTGTATACACTCCCTTTTGTTTTTCCTAACAGATAGCTCTTGCCCCAGGCCTTTTCACTGTTTTTCTCTTTCAGCCCACAGCCAGTTTCATGTACCATCTACCCACCACACACGTTGGGCTAGTCTACCTTTGGTAATGATGTCTTAGCACAGATTTTTTCCTCTACTGGTTGATAACTGGTTTGATGATGCTTCTAATTATCTTAGTCCTTCTTTAGTTCACCAGTCAGCCACCATTTGATAGTCTATGTCTTCTGGTCTCATCACATGGCCAGCCCACCAGTAGATTCACGATAAGTTCAGTCTTGATATCTGGGAAGTGAATGCTTTCATGCAATAGCAATAGACAGTGTTTTGTCACTGACTTGATAAAAGCTTGATAATAGCTTCCCAGACGGCGATAATGTATTTCATTTTTTATTACCTAGAGTAGCAGTCTCCTGCTACTCTAAATAAAGAGAACTTTATTGATCATTTCCACCAGTATATTTTTTTGGAAGCAATTCTTAACCAAAATATGTATATTTATTTATAAAATATATACATATGCACCATCTTTAGCTTATCGCAGTCACCATATATGCTTAAGGTTCATTGTTGATGGTGGATATAAATTCACAAATTAATCTTGATGAATTTGATTTTTTCAACAAAATTTGGATTAGATTGTTATTTTAACTTTGAAATGTGCGGCCGAAGATACCATAAATGTCAGTTCTGTCATTTGCTTGTTTTCCTGTGTTTTCTTTGCAAAGGACTCTGATAAAGCCACTTGTCTTTTTTCTGTAGCTTATTTTAGTTAAACCTAGGTAATATAATCGAAAAGGCACTTAACTGAACCTAGCAAACTGCAGTAAGTCACTACATGTTGACAGGGACTGATTGGGTGGAATCACCTCTGCTCACCCCTGGAAATGGGTAACTTCCATTTTTCCTTGGAGTAATCTTATGCTGTTCTTGACTAAGAGGCCATTCTGTGGACTGAGTGCAGGGTCACTCATTCTGTATATATAATATTTGTTGGGCTTAATATCTTTCTTTTTCTATTAGAACTGAACACAAATAGATGTCCTCATGTCTTTTTCTCTTGCATCTCAAGTGGATTGCTTTGCACTATTCTTGTAATGTACGTACCCCTGGGATGCATGGACCGCCTTTAGAAGCTATTGGTACACAGAGCAATTTCTCACAAAGGCAAGGATGTTTTCATTTAAAAAGATCTGCTCATTTTAGATGTTACTCAGCCATTTTATAGAAAATGAAATAATTTTGAAATGAATTGTCTTTATAGAGATTCCATAATTTGCAAAATCCCCACTCTACTTCTAAGCAACAGCTGTGACCATTTCAAACGTGTACTACTCTTTGCTAGTTCAACTGTTGCCAAGGGAAACTGAGTTGGCTTTAAAATCTTCCTTGGTTTTAATAATGCATTCACCCTTCCAGAAACTGAGCAAACATGTTCCGCATGGCTGGGACACTGAACTTTTCATAAAGACTGGTAACTGGTAATTGAGCTGTGGAACTGTTTCATGAAGGTAGCAAGGAGACTAGTATTCTAACCAGTTTTATGCGGCCTCGTGGTAATGAACTTTTCAAAGCAAAAACGGGCTCTTCTATACAATAGCCAATTTAGAGACAGTAGGGGGAGCCTACCATCTAAGAGAGCCATCTTTTCCTGTTTCCAATTTCATTTCAAACAGTATTTTAAAAAGTCTTTCTTGGCACTCAAGAGCCATATCTGGGAGTGTGCACAGAAATTTGCAACACAAATGTTAACACAAACAAGAAAAATGCATTTCTTTTGTCACTTGCACATTTATGTATAGTTCTATTTCCTAACTGTATAGAAAACATGTTATAATACCGAGGGGAAAAACTAAGCTACAGAACAGCATACACAATATTCAAAAGAAAAAATACTGGAAGTACATCAAAATACTAAAAGTGGTTATTTCTGGGTTGAGGTGATTATGAATGTTAACGTTTTTTTCATTTACCAACTTTTGAATAACTGGTACGCAGACATTTTAAGTTATCATTAACAATGCCTTTCTTTCCCCCTCCCCCAAAGATGTACGTAGTGTGCCTTCAAACAGAGTGGCAACCTAAGAATATTCTCTGGAAGTTCACCTTTTGGCTTAGGGCTCACCCAGGATGCAAATGCTTCTCTGAATAATTTATCACTTGTTCTAGCTAGAGCTAGGTGAAGTCTCCTCCATAAACTCTTCTCATCTAACTTGCCAATCAAAATTTTCAAGCTCCTACAGACTGCTGCTGGGTTTCCATGAGCTCTGTGCAGATGGAGGGCAGATATAGTTGATCTAAAACATGATGGCTTAGTCAGCCCTCCCACCTGCATAAGCTACACTGAGCTGGACTCAACCAAGGTTTGCAGGAGCTTCAAGGAGCTGATATTCTAAACAGAGGAAAAGGAGACGAGGTGAGAGAATTCGAAGCGATACCCAACCCTTGGCCCAGGTCCCCCGGGGTTCAGGTCTCCCATAAGATTCAGCGGAGAGCGACTGTTGGTGGTTTCGCAGGTGGCTGCAAGGGGCCATTTACACAAGTAGTGTAACAGAGACGGGGGCGAAGAGTCTTATTTCCTTCTAATCACCGCTGGATCCCGTCCTGAGAGGGACTCCTCGAGTCTCGAAACGCCATCCTACCGCTGAAGGGGGCGGAATCAGGGCCCAGAAGGCTCCCCCACCCTTAGCCGATCCTCGTCTTTGGAATTCTCTGGTTGAAGAGAACCACGGCCCACAACTCCCGCAATGTGCGGAAGACCATTCCATTGATCTATTAGTCGCACACCACCCGAGCTTCTGGAACTCCTCACTGAGAGAGCGCCGCCGTGACCCCTACCCAACCGTCTGGCGGAAGCGGTAGCAGCGCGGCCTGAGATTGCCGCTGCATCCGGGTCCCTCTCGCCTCAGCCCAATCCTAGGCCTCCTCTCTTCCTACCATCCTGTTTCTCCGCCCCCCCGCCGCCAATCCCTGATCGGCTCTCAGCCGAACATGCTGGCATGGGAGTGAAGGCAGACTCTGACCAATGAGGAGTCGCTTCCCGTTTGAAGCCCCCAGTGAGTGGGTGCCGGAGGCGGGCTCTGCTGGCCAGAAGGGTCGGTTGCGCGTGTGCCATGGACTCAGCTGCCCGGTGATATTGACAATAGGAGAGAGAAAGGGGCATTGACCAGGACCCACCGCGGCTACTGAACGGCGGCTCTGGCAGCGGCGGCTCCAGCTCCAGCGACCCCTCCTTCTCCTTCCTTCTTCTCCTGCTGCTGCTACGGATCCAGTCTTCCTCCCTTCCCCCCTCCCCACGTCGTCGCTGCCGCCGCTGGGTCCGGAGCAACGAGCAGAGGCGCCGCCCGCCGGGAATGTGAACGAGGAGCCACCGGCGGAACCGCAACGGGGTCGGTGCCGATTTGATGGGACGGGCCCGCGGGGGAGGAGTGTGAGGCCGCCCGCCGCCGCCGCTGGAGCGCTGAGGTTCAGGTCCGGCCGTGAGGCCTAGAGGCACCGCCACCGCGGAACCGAAGGGACGCCGCGCCGGACAGCCGTCGCCCCGGGCTCCGTGCCGCTGTCCTGACCTCCCCCTGCAGGTCCCGGTCCCGCCGTCCGCTCCCGCTGCAGCCCTCGCGCGTCTCCCGCCCCGCGAAACCACAGATCATTCGGATTCTTCCCCAGAAGCTTCAAGGTAACTTTGTCCCTCCAGCACCGCGGCTTGCCTTCTTCCCGTCCTCCTTCCCGTCTTACGGGGGAACCTGCAGGACACCGGCCTCGGAAGGCCTGGCCCGGGCAAGCGAGGGATGCCGCGGGATGGGGTGCGGGAGAGGGAGCGCCAGTCCCACTTGTCTGATTTACCCGCAGATGCTTCTGATGATGCTTCTCATTCACTCATCCCCTCCCCCCTTTTTCTCTACGTTCCTCCATAGGAGGCATATTCTTGTCCCCCTTTATCCACTGACGGGGCGGGGAAAATGGAGGGACTGGTGTAGGGGATAGGATTCTCTTAACAGCTTATCTTCAGGGTTGGGAGTGAGCATCTCTACAGACAAACTCCCTTCCCTGCATTCTCCTCCACCCCAGTACACCTTTTGGATTATCCTGAGCCTTGGAAATGCCCTGTACCCTCTGCTTAGAAGATGATAAGGCTTTGAGCGCCCTGTTCTAGGGCTAAACCTGTTTCCCTGGGCTTTGCACTGACCGCTGCTGCTGCAAGTTCAATTCTGCAGCGCTTTAGGGTTGAAATCCTTGACGTTTGTTCTGGGCCTCGGGCGGAAGGGACAAATAATAATAAAAAAAATGCTACCAATCAATCATCTCTAGAGATGGGCGATGAGAAATAAATAAGAGACTGAAAGAGTGATGGAGGAACAGGATTTACTGCAATCTTGTGTTTTTAGGGTTAAATGAAATCTAATTCACATACCAGATTGGAAAATCTGCTTCTAAATTTACATACCAATGTAATGTGGAGCTTCTTGCTATGAAGAATTTTAAGTGATCTTACTTACTTCTGTGTGCGTGTGTGTGTGTGTGTGTATAGGTACTCATAGTTTGCAATTCCATTTTGAATGTATCACATTTTAAGTCTAAATAAATTGGGTAGATTTCTAAAAACTTTTTTTTTTAAGAGACCCAAACAAGTCTTCAAAATTCCAAACAGTAACATAATTCAGTTTTGTGTTTTGTTTATGTTTTTGTTACTTTTATTTTGTCAGGTAATCCAGATAACTTTTTATTCTTAACATGTTCAGGAAGAAACTCCCTTTTTTACTTAGAGATTAAAAAACGCCATTGGAATGACAGGTAATTTGAGTTTCAGCATTTCCCCCATATGCAGTATTTTTATTTGAATCTGCCATGAATCTTGCCTGGAGCCACTGTCCATGGAAATTATGGCATCTTTTTAAATTGATGAATGAAACTGAGCTTAATGCTTGTTACTTTTAGGAAGTAGCCTTCATTTTAATAATTTGAGAAGGTTAAAAAATCCTAAACTGTTTCGTTCCATCAGTTTGGTGGAATGAAAGTTGATATTTGATGATGAGTTGCAAAGGAACTCAACTTGGTTGTCTAAATAGGCTGTGAATTTATGTTTTCATTTCAACTTCAGTGCATGATTTCATCATAGTTTTGTTTATTAAGCTTTAATAAGTTAAGATGGCTTTATTCAAGAAAGAAGACTTCTTTGAACTGATTTTAATTATGCCTTTTATGTGTTCTGTTTAAAGTAATCTAGCCTGGCCTCATTTGCAGTGTGGTGTAGTTTATCACAGTTAACACAGTACATTGCATTAGAAGTCATGCCTAGATAGTCTCAGTAGTTGTAAATTTCACCTTGCTGTAATACATTGGTGTAGATTCTTGAAGTACAATAAAGATTTCAACTCCAGAGCCCATTCATAATATTAACTATATTGGGAAAATGTATTGATGGAAGTTTTCCAGCTGCAAAATAGCTCCAGAATTACTTCAAGAATCTCAAGATGAGAAGAAATTTGCAGTTAGAAAATGAGTAGATGGCTTACAAGGGTTCTTCAAGTGTAAATGAGCATCTTCATTGCTTATCGTAGCAGGAGCAGCACAGTCCATTAGAATTACAGTATTGTTTCTGTGGTAGTTATATTACTCTCATTTTCCACCAAATTGTTATGTTTTTCCATTGGACATATGACTTTTCTTAATTTTATTTGCTGCCTTTGTCACATACTCTCATTTTCATGAATGTTGGGTACAGGAATGTTAGAATTTGTGTAACTCATGTGCATGCTTCCACTTTGGGAATGTGTTTATGATACCTCTTTCTCTTTAGTAGGGATATGTCCTCAGCACCAACTACTCCTCCATCAGTGGATAAAGTAGACGGATTTTCTCGGAAGTCCGTCAGAAAAGCCAGACAGAAGAGGTCGCAAAGTTCCTCACAGTTTAGGTCTCAAGGCAAGCCCATTGAGTTAACACCTCTGCCGCTGCTAAAAGGTAAGTCTTATGACCAGGTGATGGATACCTTTTCAATTGATCTTTTGATATGTATGTATAATTCCCTTCTAGGAGGATTTCATATTTGTTAAAATTCTGTGTTGTAGGTTGAAGGGATGGGAGATTTCAGACATGTTGAAGTTACTGATGTGTGACTAGATATACCCACTCTCCTTGTTAAAGGGCTCAATTTAATATAAATAGGTGTAGACAAATGAAAAGAGACTTATCAGGAGAATCTCTCACACTGATAAAAACTGAATGCCAGAGAAACTTTAAGATGTTCTGGGTCTGTGTTTTTAATTTTTTCTTCTTTTGACATTTAGATGTGTACATTGCATGTGATGACAACTATAAATTGTATGGCCTAGTCACAGGGAGTAGATCTATAGAGGAACTGGTACTATTAGCTTATATAAAGAAAATCATGTTTGAAAGGATTCATTTTTAAATCAAGAAAAAATGGTCATTATTAATTCAGTACATGCATTCTTGTTTTCAGATAGTACAAATAGAAAATGTATATGATGATCATACTTGTTTAATGCTACTTTTCTCTTTCCTTTGGAATGAATTAAGGACAACTTTTTAATTTGAGAACTTTTTCATTTAAATTAGATCTCTCAATTTTTGTTTGGGTATGTGGATGCTTTTTGTTCTTTTAATTTTCACCTGTTTGCTTTATATTATGAACAGGCATTGTTTGAAATGTATTGGAACATAGCATAGATAGCATGGAAACTCTCTGAGTCTACTTTTGAAAGTAGACTTGTCTGCTGAACACATAAGAGTGAGAAGAAAGCATGAATAACACAGTGCACTTCGTGTCTTAGAAAATCAAGAATCCTCATTTGCTAGTTTGTTAATGTATATTTATTTCTGTAATAGTTTGTGAAGTAAGAAAGTATTATAAGAAAAGCGGGAGTTTGACTAGAAAAGATCATCAATTTAGCCTAGGATATTTCAAGCTTGTATTTTTTCTTATGTGAACATTTTTTTTCTAAGGGAGGGAGATTCATAAATGGGAATTGGGTGTTTATATTTCAAATTGGTGGAAACTAAATGAATACTGATTAGTGTAAAGATGGTAATTTACCACTTAATAAAGATGAGCTCTTACAAGTTTGAGAGGAGGAAATTTTGGCTAAAGATTTTGCTGGTAAAAATGTAAAAAAGAAAGCATGACGCTTTGGAAGAAAAATGAAAGAAAAAACTTTTTAGAAATAAAGATATGCTTGAAACACTAAGTTGAGAGGCATATTGGAAACTTTAGTAACTTAGTCTGAACCAGATAGCATCTATATCTGGTAACAATCTTTATTCTGAGGAAGCAGATTAAACTTTTTTAGGATTAGAACTAAAAATTTTAAACCTTATTGTTTCATTAATTCTGGGGATGTCTAAGTTAGACCTTAACTCACCATTCATAGCCAGGGTATTAGTTTTGTGGGTAGTGAAAGAGGCATGCATGAGAATTTGGCACATGTTTTAGTATTTTCTTGTTCCTTATCTCATTATTTTTCATTGTGGTAAAATATACATAACATAAAATCAACCATTTTAACCTTTTTCAAGTGTTCATTAGGTGTCGTATATAGTACATTCACACTGTTGTACATCCATGTCCATAATTTATTTTCTCTTACCCAACTGAAACTCTGTACCCATTAAGCACTAGCCCCTTGGCAACTGCCATTTTACTTTCTGTCTTTATGAATTTGATTAATTTTGGTACCACGTGTAAGTGGAGTCAGAATATTTGTCTATTTGTGATTGGTTTAGTATAATGTCCTCAAGTTGAAGCCATGTTGTAGCATATGTCAGAATTTTCTTCCTTTTTAAGACTGAGTAATATTCCTTTGTATTTATATACCACGATGTCTATCTGTGAATAGACACTTGGATTGTTTCCACCTTTTGATTTTTGTGAATGCTGCTGTGAACATGGTGTGCAAATATATGTACAAGTCCCTGCTTTCACTTCTTTTGGGTATATACTCAGAAGTATATTGAATTGGTTAGGTCATATGATTAATTGAAGACTTGCCATAGTATTTTCTATAGCAGCTGCACTATTTTAGATTCCAACTAGCAATGCAAAAGGGTTCCAATTTCTCCATATCCTTACAATACTTGTTTTTTTTTAAATAATAGCCATTTTGATGTATGTGAAGTGGATTTCATTAAGTTTTGCTTTGCATTTCCCTAATGATTAGTGATGTTGAGCATCTTTTCATGTGCTTATTGGCCATTTGTATATCCTTTTCTCATTTTTTAAGTGAAGTCTTAGGGTATTAAAAAATTTCCAAGAACTCTGCTCTCCAAGAATATGATTTTTGTGACCTTGTATGTTTTGCCAGCATGGGAGAACTGGAGAGCAACAGAACCGTATGATTAAATTAGATACATCCACAGGCTTATTTCAGGCAGACTACAAGTGATTCTTGTGTAGTAAGCATGTTCTGGGAAAATATTCTGGAAAGCATTCCATAAGTTCCTTATCTATAGAATAACAAGGAAGTACAATCAGATACAGACTTCAGAAATGTGTATTTGCTCTTGATTTTTATAGTGAATGTAAAGGGTTTGTTAAATGACACTTGTTTTCCTTACAGTGGATTGACTTTTATTTGTGTTTTGCCTTCTCACCATTGTTAGGAAGTAATTTATACAGAAAATACAGGAAGATTTTCTTTTTCTATCTCCTTAGGAGAAACCAGAATAAATTATATATGTTTGCCAAAGGATAGTTTTGAATTCAATTTTCTGTTGAATTACTTTGACTAGATTGGAAGGTTGAGTTAATTTTATTTGGGGGTACAATATAAATTGCAGTTCAGTTTTGTGGGTTGCTTTAAAGTAAAAGGTATGTCCCCAAGGTCTTCAATTTTAGGGGAGTTTGAAGATGGAAACATGTAAACATAGTAATTTTGTAATTCATCTTTTTAATATGTAATTTTGAAAGCTCAAAAATTAGGTATTCACTAATAATCACTTGTTTTGTGTCTATGCATTATCAATGTTTATTATATGCATCCTAATGTTTGACCTATGAACAATACTGCCATTAATTATTAGCACTTAAGAGGCTCTTCAGTTGCAGAACTGTTACAAAGTGAGAGCAAAATTTCATCCATTATGCTCTTTTTCTAATAGGTGAGGTTTCGAAATTTGTATCAGTGATGTTATGTCCTGTAGAAAGCCACACCAGCATGTAGTTCTGTGTAAACGCAAGGAGAATAACCTGGTTTTTGTTCAGATTTTATAATGAAATTGCAGGATAAACCTTGAAATACAGACCTCTCAATTTTCTCCATTTTCATATACTTCTGAAAATGCCTTCAGAGAGTCCTAAAGTTTTTGAGCTTGAAGGACTCTTAATCATTTTCCTGATAAGGGAAATCCAGTGGAGGTTTAGTGCCTTATGTGTGTGATAAGAAAGTAAACTCTAAGATGCTTTCCTGTGCCTACATAGCAGGAGATAAAGCAAGGTTTGACAGTTCTCTGGGTAAGTCTGACTAAGAACCATCAAACTAAACACTTAGGCAGATAGACAAACATGCATTTATAATAATAATAATAATGAGGAGGAGGAGGAGGAGAAGTGGCAGTAGTAGCATCTGGTTGGGTGATTTAAATCTCCCTACCACATTCTCTCATACCTTATTTCCTTCTTTCTTGGGCTGTAAAAGCTTATATAAATTTAGATTTGAGTGAAGTGTTTTTTGATAACTACCACCTCTTTGAAATAGGATTGTAATGAAAGTGGCATCATTATTTCTAGCCTCACGATTTATTATATGTTTCTGAGGTATCTTGCTGATAGTTTGGGCATTGAGTATTAAGCATTCCAAAAATTGTGATGACTGGAGGTACCATTCAACAGGAAAGCCCCTATTGGTGTTGAGACCTTCAGGTCAGTACATTGTGCTAATGTAACACTCCTTCTCTAATGACAACTTTCTTTTTAAACTTTAGGTTTATGATTCAGCTTACATTTTTATTTTTTAGGGTGGTAATTCACAAGCACTTTGAAAATTATAATTTAAAACCAGTTTTTGTGCTTTTCTGATACTTGGGTGGGATAGTTCTCATTCATCTGTCTCTGCTTTGTATAATATAAAGAAGAAATATGCAGATGCAATTCCCAGTTTTTATAGGGCTAGGGCTGTAAAGTGACTTTATAATGAGAATAGTCTCTTAAGGAATAATGTCCTCCACTTTAGTGTTTACCATCCTACTTGTGTGACACAGGGTTGCATGGGAGAAAGTGCACGGGCTTGTTGCTTGCAAGAGTCTGAGTGCACTCACCATCTGTGTTCCTTGGGGCGAGTGAATTAACTTGTCCATCAAATGGGGGGGGAAATCTATTGATTTCCTTGTCTATCAAATGGGGATGATAATAATAGTTAATAGATATGGCAATACTGCATTCAATAAATAATAGCTATTGTTATTTAGCTGGGATTTCAGAAGTTAGAATATAAATAATGTGGAATTATTATTTGACTTTTTATACTTTCCCAGCGAACAGTTGACACTGGAAATTTCTCTGAAATTATGAAACCAGAGCATAGTTTTGCAGTCATAAGCCTTTTTCAGCCCCCAAATTTTCAACCCCTAAAACAGTGTGCCAGTGTATTGAATTTAGTAGACTATTTATTTTAAACATCTTTATTTGGAGATTTTCACCTACTGCATTGGTATCCTGCCACAATTTTTAATGTAATGCTTCTTATTTTTCACTTACTCATTTTTCCTCCCAACTTGGTTCTCTAGTTCCTCTTCCCAAAAGCAACCAGTCATAATATTCTCATATGGAAAGTATATGCTTGAACCCTTGACTAAATTTAAAATGCATTGAGCAACCTGAAAAAATACATATGTGTATTTTTTTAAATGGGAGAATTCCATAGCACTTTTCAGATTCTCAAAGGGGTATCTGAATAAAAAAATGTTAAGCACCGTCAATCTAGTTTGTGCCTTAGATAAGTGGTGTA